GCCAAAGTTGGTCTTGGCACTGAAGAATTTGCACCAGCATCCCCCTCTACAGCAGGAGGCAACAGGAGGCAACAGTAGCAAAAAGCAGAGTCACCTTGTAACAGCCACAAACTAGACAAACATCAAGGAAAATGAAGGGAAACAACTCCCAGCAAACAGATGGGAAACGCATATTTGGCATGTGTTTTTGCAAACAGTGTGGTCAAAGTAGGGGTTCTTGCGGAAGGGGTTAAGCTTTGGGTTGATCGAGGTGCTCACATCCGTCGGCGGCAAATTTGAAGACCCTCACGGCAAAATGGTTCCTCTCATCTCGAGACTCGAGATCTGCGAAGTGCATCTCCAATACGCAGGCTTGTGCAAACTGGTGAAGGCGCGCGGGTGCTTCAACCCCCGTGCTCTGGTAGTCTGAAGTCGACTTTTCGTGGCAGGCACAAAGAGGTCGAAGCGGTTGCACTTCGATGTGCAACCTACTAGCGATGGCCTCCAACCTAAGAGCGATGGCCTCCAACCTAAGAGCAACGGCCTCCAAACCCCTGGGGTTCCATTTTGCCAGTAGCAAGGGGGATCTATCTATCTATCTATCTATCTATCTATATATATATATCTATATATCTATCTATCTAGCTAACTAACTAGTCTCATCATGTATCTATCTACTTTAATCTTATCTATCTGGGGTCATGGAGGTCATGGGGGGTAATGCGTCTTCATGCGTCTTCGTTGAACATTTCACCCTCTACTGCCTACTATGTCTCTCTCCACATCTGAAGCAATCCGCCTTAATCAAAAAATTAAGAAACCTATGATGCCTGGTTTCTTGATTTTTTGATTAAGGCCCGATTGCTTGAGATGTAGAGTCACTGATGCGTTTTTTGTAAATAAGACCTCCAGCAAACACTCTGGTTGCATCAGAGGTGTCTTCATTTTTAGATTGAGGCCCGATTGCTTCAGATGTAGGGTCACTGATGTGTTCTTGCAGATAAGACCTCGAGCAAACACTCTGATTGCATCAGAGGTGTCATCATTTTTTGATTAAGGCCGATTCAGATGTAGTCTCATTGATGAGCTTTTGCAGATAAGACCTCGAGCAAACACTCTGGTTGCATCGGAGGTGTCTTCATTTCTTGATTAAGGCCCGATTGCTTCAGATGTAGAGTCACTGGTGCGTTTTTGCAGATAAGACCTCGAGCAAACACTCTGGTTGCATCAGAGGCTTCTTCATTCTTTTTGAGACCATGTCCGGCTTTGTCCTGATTCACGCAGCATAAACCTAAGAAATCAAGACACCTGTTACACAAGAACATAACAGTTGCAATGTCACTTGCATGGGAATGTTGAGGAAAGGCGCTCCGGGGTTGCTGCGCTTGCGCTCGTCGTTCAATCTGAAGAAACTAAAGTCGAATTCTTAATATAAACTATTTGGGGGGTCTTCAGCTTGATTCAATTTAGCCATCTATGTTTTCTTCACTGCCTCAAGTGTTCAATTTAGAAACAGATTAAAAATCGATATTAAATCGTTCAAATCTTTTAATCTCAAAAGCATTTCCTAAAACCATACCACATAGGCTCAAAGTTCCAGACTAAACCGAAGAGCGATGGCCTCCAACCTAAGAGCGATGGCCTCCAACCGAAGAGCGATGGCCTCCAACCTAAGAGCGATGGCCTCCAACCTAAGAGCCATGGCTTCCAACCTAAGAGCGATGGCCTCCAGCCTAATAGCAATGGCCTCCAACGTGCAGATGTGGCAGGTGCAGCACTTTGGACTTGGTGTTTGTTGCAAAGCGCACTGGCAGGGCTGCATGGGCTGCGGGAAATGAGTCATCCATGGTGCAGATTTCACGGCGCATCTGGGAGAATTCTGCACAAGGAGGATCTTGCTTTGGTGACATGGCAGTTCTGCGCAAAGTTGCAACAAACATGCTTCAAAGTCCAGGCTGTCTTACACTGGTATGAAGGAAAAGCAAACACCCACAGGGAAAAACGCTGGCATAGTTCCTGACCTGCGTTGTTTTCGGGGTGCGTGGGGAAGGTGGGACCTCTTTCGGACGTTCTTCGACCCCCTTCGAGCTTAAGCTGAGCAGCTGCCCAAACAGGCGATGCGAATGATTGGCAAATCACCTGGTCCAGTGCCGCTCGGTCAAGAAAAGCTACTAGCTTCTTGCTACTAGTAGTAAGGCACTTGTTACTAGTAAGTAGCGATGCACTTCTTTCCGCTCGCTACAACCTGAAGCTACTAGTAACAAGGTCGTAGAATTTGTTTTGGCAACGATGTCCAATGATGCCCACCCACCGAGACAATTTCAATTTTTAAAGCGAAGAATCAGTAGTTGTTTTATTCGACATCGAGCCTGTGCCAGAATCAGTAGCTCCAGATTCTGCAATGAGAGGCCCACATCGCTGATGAAAGGCGTTGCTATGGCTGGAATGGCAAGTAGGCCAAGACCTTCGAGTCAGTCCGGTTAGGCAAACATGAAACCTGACTGGTCGCCATAGTGAAGAAAAATAATAGAAATAAAAAGAAAATAGGCGACACACAGTGTTTGTTCCTCTTATTCTTTTAGCCCGTGGCCCTGCCAACAAAATGCCCAAACACCGTCCTTCTTTTCCTAGTTATTTGTTTCATCGATGTAGGCGTAGGTCTTAGTACCTTTTAGGTCGACATACCGACAGTCGGTTTACCCGCATACCGTTTCAATCCGCTTCATTACCCTCCACTGAGATTCTCAGAAAATGTTTTCTTGCCACCCCATCTCAATTGCCATTGGCTCCTCCCACACGACTTGAGGCCAGGTGCAATGAACAAAAGCTAGCTGCGCAAACGTGAAAGGAAAAGGACATTGAAGCAATCGAAGCAGAACATATCAACCATAACGTGGTGGAAGTTTTGGTGGCCAAGCGCTGAGTTCTTACTGCTGCCAAATCAGGCTCTAAGGTCGCACTGCTCATGATGTCGTGTGTCTTATCTTCGGTGAGGTGGCATATGTTCAAGGCTGATACCAGTACTGTGGTGATTTGACACTCCTGGTGAAATAGTACATATTTGCGCTGGTGAAGCAGCACAGGTTCTTCCTGCAAGATCGATGTATATACCAATGTAAAGGTGAATCGGTGGCTGATATTGAGAGCAGGGACATGGGATGGTGTTGTCGAAGGTGAAAGTCGACGGTTCCCCCCGCCAGAAAAGCGGCCGCCAGGTGAAAGTGGTTTGTGACCAACGCTGGCTCAGTCGTTGATATGCGACCGCTGTAAGCTGCTTGTACCTCTGGTGATGTGGTCCCCTCTTTGGTACCGGTGATGTGTTCTTGTTGGTGGCTTTATGTTTGTACATTAATGTGTTGGGAGTGAGTCAAGTGCCACGTGGCACATACCCACCAGTGCCGGCATTATTGATATCATTGGACCGGGGGGGATGGGGGGAGAGAAACAAACGATTCGTCGTCCAAAAGCTTCCCTAGCAAAACTCTTCAAAGACAACTAGCTGGCAAAAGATAGCTTTAGCGGCCTGACACAGTACTAAAAGCATGGTGAAATCGCAACTTCCCAGCCTTCGATGAGACCAATTGTCATAAGTATGCACCGAAGTCCTTTGTGACCTAGTCCTTTGGGCTTCCCGATGCTGATGGAAGTTCCAGTGGTGTCACTGGAATCTTTGGAATCCTTAGAACCTTCAGATTCTCTATCTCTGCTTGTCTCTGATCTTTCAGTCCTGCACGCGGGAGGAAATCAAGGCTCTGACACTCTGACCAGCAAAGAGCAAAAGAGCCCTTGAATTCAGTGGGCAAAGAAAAGGAATCAAAAAGTACTAGCGATGGCCTCCAACCTAGTAGGAAAAATTGCTGCAAACGCACATGAGCGCAAGTAGAAAAGAGTTGAGAGGGCAGGCTCAGGTGAGCTCTCTGAGGTTGTGTATGCCTCCTCGTGTTCTTGATCTTGTACCGGCCCTCAGTTCTTTGCGATGAACTGCGCAGGCGTTCCGAGCTGCAGCCGCGAAGCTGGAATGTCAGGAGCTGCTAAAGCGAGTCTCAGGTAGTGCAAGCGCTGTTCTGTGGTAAGCATGGCCTCCCAAGCTTCTCAAAGCGCTGTTCTTAGTTGGTCAAAGCTTGAAGAAAGGGACACTCCTAGTAGAAATGCCCTTTGTTCCTAGTAGCGAACCTTGTTACTAGTAAGGCCAGGAGCCCCTAGTAGCGTGGCACCTCTTCCTAGTAGCGATGCCCTTTGTTACTAATAGCTTCCATGTTGTTCGGATGTTCCGCCTCGCCTCAGGAGACGGCAAATCTGTGGAAGCTGGTTCAGTGGAACTGGAAGATCCACTGGATGTGCCTCTCCGGTCCTCTCAGTTGGTTGGAGGCCATTGCTTCTAGGGTAGAGGCCATTGCTATTGGTGTCTGTGAAAAAAAGAACAAATGTCCTGTTAATCTTTTCTCTATTCATTCCTTGCTATTAGGTTGGAGGCCTCGATTTACAAGTCCCAGTCTCTGGGAGTCCGTCCTGCATGCGCTTCAAAACGAATAGGGCTTCATCACTGATCTCTAACACCTTGACTCCTTCCACTTCCACAATCTCTTCAGCGGATCCCTGCCAGCAAAGCTCAACTGGTTTTCCTTTGCACTGCCAATCTGCAGGGAAGAACATGGCCTCCTCACATATACAGCCGCTCGACATGTCATATACAGCCCGGCACGCTGTGACCTTCCTTGCTGTGTCTCTTACTGTCTTACTCATCTTCGGGCTTTGTCTCACCATTGGGGTAAGCAAGTGGTCAGGAATGTCCTCTAAAGTATCTGTCTGTGTTCTGTTTAAACTCACGGAAGGTCACACTATCTCAGTCTGTGTGGATCTTATGTCCAAGAGCCAAACTAGAATGGCTGCACACACAACCAGGGTAGTTAAGTGAAGCACACAGTGCATGTCTTCTGAGTCAAATGGGCCCAATGAAAGCGATGGTTGGGCCATGTTAAGCCAGTTGAGCCCAGAAATGCACCACCCAGGCTGCCGCGAACCTGAACGTGACAGGCTGTGGGCTTTCCATCCACCTGTGAGGTGATGATCTCAAAGGTGACCATCGAGCCCTCCGCCACAGCCTGAACGTGACTTGCAGCCGCTGGCAGGGTGTTCTCCAGAAATGAGTTCTTGTGATTTGTCCATGTTCTTTATTCTTCTATCTTTTCTTAAGCTTTCTGTTTCAACAAGGAGCTGTTTGCTTGTCGCAAGGGGTAGGGGCATGCATGCTCTGAGGCAAACCCAGTAGGGGAAATACATCACATCTCAGAAAGCCCATCACCTGAGCGTGAGGTCCGTCTGGCCCGCCATCAAAGCGGCTCTTGTGGACGAAAACCTGCGACGACCGAGGCCTCAAGCCTCAAACTACAAAGTGTGGTCTGAGGCCTCTTTCTTGTTACTAGTAGCGTCCTTGTTACTACTAGTAAGGCACTTGTTACTAGAAGCGATGCACTTGTTCCTAGTAGCTTCTTGCTCCTAGTTCTTTTTGAGTTGCTACTAGAGATGGCCTTCAACCTCTACTCGCTTTCTACTCACTTGTACGCACCCTCTGCTGTGTTGCTTTGCTGCCTCTTCTGCCTGCGCATTAGGATGCAAAGACCTGAGTAACAACAGGTTAGCCGGTTCAAGATTGTGGCTTTCATCCTGACTTTGGACCAGGATCTTTATGAGGTGCATGAATCTTGTTTCAGAACACCAACCACAATGGCTCGCAATTCTGAGGTTTGAGCAGGATTTTCCCAAAGCCCTTTTCTTTGCCTTATGCGATGCGGTGGTGTGATAGAGCTCGAATCAAGGATATATCCCATCGATCATTTTGGTCATGAGTCACTTACATCTCACATGTCTGGGTGTCTGGCTGAACCATTTGACGCGACCCTCAAAGCGTGGTGGACCTGACAATCACGACTTTGCCAACTCATAACATAAATATCACGACTTTGCTACATCCTGAAGTTTGCCCCAAAAAAGATACACCCGAGCCACGCCATGCAACTCTGGGTATCTGCCCATTTTTGGCAATGCCAAATCCTGCCCGCTTTTAGCGGCGAGATTTCCTTCTGCTATCAGCACTGTTGCTGATGACGGCCAACAGCTTGAGGTTGCCGACATTCTGAACAAGAAAGCAGCACGAATTTTAGCATGCTTTCTTGTCTCACCTATGTCACTGCAGGACGGCATCCGTTCAACCATAAAGGCGGAACCGTCTCTGAGAGATGCAAACAACAACTACCGCATCAGCTTCATCACAATTGTGATGACATGGTAAGCCACTGGATCACGACAATTGAGGCACGAATGCACCGCTTTTCCTGCCGGAGCTTGAGCGGCTTGGTATTGCTCGTCTTCTGCCTCACGCTTTGCATCGACTCGGAACCATTCAAAACCCCACCACGTAGGTTAAGTGAGGCTTGGAAGTTGGAAGCCTTATATAGTAGTTTCTTGTTGCTAGTAATGGCCTCCAACCTACTTGCGATGGCCTCCACCTAATAGCGTCCTTGCTACTCGGAAAAATAAGAAAAGCCATGCTGCTGGTTCAAGCCTTGCACTGACAAAAGTACTCAAATCCTGTCACGACCCTAAACTCACATCTGCCAAGTGCTGAGAGCAACTCCTAACGCTTTTTTGGGGAAGACTGAAGAACAATAAAGAACAAAAAGGGACAGGTAGCCAAGTAAGTAAGAGGTAAGGGACCGGATGCAGGAAAGCTCACGCAGTATTCGTTTTGTTTATAGATTTTGGGTGGACCTTGACTTGGAGGCCATCGAAAGTAGGGTGGAGGCCATCGCTATATATTAGGTTCCTTTTGCATCCTTTTGCTACTAAGTTGTAAGGGGGAACTTAAGTTTCAAAAATTACACCACCGTAGACCCCAAACAGTTTGTGTTTTTCAAAATCGAAACTAGAGCTTGCGACGTCCAGCGCTGGGAGATAAATGTAAAGGATTGCAAGGCAGAGACGGACACAGCAGTACAGAGCGGGGGGGACACATCTTAAGAAAGAAGTGAGAAGCCCTAACAGTAAACCTTTTGGGGAATTATTCTTCAAGCGCGAACATGATGCTGGTCATGCTGCTCAGTCAGCGGGGAGCTGACCACGTGAGGACAAGAAACAAAAGCATGAGGAGCGAAGGATGTGACATGAAATTGATTTTTGGTGCCTGACATATGCCCTCCGCCCCAACTGAATAGAGAGATCGCTGCCACGCCGCCGAAATCCAATCCGGTCATTCATCCAACGGTTGCCCGAGAAGGAAAACAAAGCTGAGAGAGTTACACAGTGTGGCAGGAATGCAATCCCGGAGACAGTCACGCACCCCTTGCAAAGGAGCAAGAACCTTTCACAGGCGAACCTGTTCCAGCGGACAGGGCAGAAAACAGCAGTGCAGGCACCAAACCTGAAAGACAAAAAGAAAGAAGTCACATGGGAGACAAATGAATAGAAATGCTACATGGCCAGCGGAAAAGGGCGGCAGCACCAGTGACAGACCCGGGAAACAAATTAATAGAAATGCTGCATGCCCAGCGGAAAAGGGCGGATACCAACAGTGACAGACCTGGGAGACTAATGAATAGAAATGCTGCATGGCCGACGAAAAGGGCGGACACCAGCAGTGACAGACCTGGGAGACAAAACACTGGCAGTGACAGACCTGGGAGACAAATGAATAGAAATGCTACATGGCCAACGGAAAAGGGCGGACACCTACAGTGACAGACCTGGGAGACAAATGAATAGAAACAGCGGAAAAGGGCGGACACCACCAGTGACAAGCCTGGGGGACAAATGAATAGAAATGCTGCATGGCCAGCGGAAAAGGGCGGAAATTAGCAGTGACAAAGACAAATGAATAGAAATGCTACATGGCATGACGGACCTGGGAGACAAATGAAGCATTTCTGGGAGATAAATGAAAAGAACCGGGAGACAAATGAAAGCAAGCGGGAGACAAGCGGGCCGGGAACCCGACCACAAGCACCCAGCCTGGGAGACAAATGAAAAGAAGTGCGTGACAAATGAAAAGAAGTGAGAGACAAATAAGAGGAAGTGGGAGACAAGCCGGCCGGGAACCCGACCACAAGCAGAAAAGAAGTGGGAGACAAACGAAAGGAAGTGGGAGACAAGCTGGCCGGGAACCCGACCACAAGCACCGAGCCTGGGAGACAAATGAAAGGAAGTGAACCCGACCACAAGCACCCAGCCTACCGAGCCTGGGAGGCAAATGAAAGGAAGTGGGAGACAAGCCAGCCGCGAACCCGACCACAAGCACCCAGCCTGGGAGACAAATGAAAAGAAGTGGGAGACAAATGAAAGGAAGTGGGAGACAAGCCGGCCCGGAACCCGACCACAAGCACCCAGCCTGGGAGACAATGAAAAGAAGTGGGAGACAAATGAAAGGAAGTGGCCTGAGAGACAAATGAAAAGAATTGGGAGGCAAATGAAAGGAAGTGGGAGACAAATGAATGCACGTGGGAGACAAGCCAGCCGCAAACCCGACCACAAGCACCCAGGGAGACAAATGAAAAGAAGTGGGAGACATATGAAAGGAAGTGGGAGACAAGCCAGCCGGAAACCCGACCAGACCATCCAGCACCGGCGACCATTCTTTAAAGCATTGAGAACCCCTAACAGTATACTGTTTGGGGAATGATAAGAAGTGGGAGACAAATGAAAAGAAGTGGGAGACAAATGAAAGGAAGTGGGAGACAAATGAAAGGAAGTGGGAGACAAGCCAGCCGCAAACCCGCGACCACAAGCACCCAGCCTGGGAGACAATGAAAAGAATTGGGAGACAAATGAAAAGAAGTGGGAAAGGAAGTGGGAGACAAGCCGGCCGGGAACCCGACAAATGAAAGGAAAGGAGACAAGTGAAAAGAAGTAGGAGACAAATGGGAAGTGCGAGACGAGCCAGCCGGGAACCCGACCACAAGCACCCAGCCTGGGAGACCAAAAATGAAAAGAACTGGGAGACAAATGAAAAGAACTGGGAGACAAATGAAAGAAGTGGGAGACAAATGAAAGGACGTGGGAGACAAGCCAGCCGCAAACCCAACCACAAGACCCAGCCGGACAAATGAAAAGAAGTGGGAGACAAATGAAAGGAAGTGGGAGACAAGCCAGCGCCGGGAACCCGACCACAAGCACCCAGCCTGGGAGACAAATGAAAAGAAGTGGGAGACAAATGACAGGAAGTGGGAGACAAGCCAGCACCACAAGCACCCACCCTGGCAGACTGAAAGGGAGTGGGAGACAAGCCAGCCGGAAACCCGACCACAAGCACCCAGCCTGGGAGACAAATTAAAAGAACTGGGAGACAAATGAAAAGAAGTGGGAGACAAATGAAAGGAAGTGGGAGACAAATGAAAGGAAGTGGGAGACAA